GGAATTATAGGATGGTACAATGGCTCGTGATTATGAATACAGATTTTTACGATCGCTCTTTCCACGAAGGAATTAGCTTTTATTCTTTTCGTGTCGGATAACTTTCGGGGGAGATTGATAGCGAAGAAGAATGGCTTCTTCGGCGTCGATCGTGATTTAGTCGAGATCGAAGATAACGCACGGACATTATCATTTTTTTTAATAACGAGAAAAAGGGTAACCGATAATTGGACAAGCGAAGGGTTCCTTCGTAAATCGAACAGAATCTTTGTAATTAAACGCACGCCAAGTTGGGTTCGTTTGATTCGCAAAGGACAAAGCGAAGGCTCGATCGCTTTGATCAATTGATGCAAAGGGGAAATCGAGAATGAAAATTGAGTAGTTTTTACGCTGGAATCTGCAGTGGACATTTTATGGTGGGTACTGAATTTCAAAGTTCTCCAGTTCTCCACATTTAAAAATTAAACGTTAATGATCGACGTTGTCATTTCTGTCAGAAAATCTGAAATGGTACTTGAGTTTCTATACATTTCATCGTGAATGTACATTATGGATAGGGAGGCAAGGCTACGTAGATAAACGCGTTTCTAATTCACTGCTAAAGGTTACTCTCGTACGAAATTACACGCCGTGTCCGACGCGACGGAAGCGGATCGTGCGCCTATGGAACCGTTTCTGGCTAATTGAATCATCCTACCCAATTTCCCGTGTCACCAGGGACATGAAGCCAGGATGTACCAAGATCGACTCTCTTATCAAGACGAGCAAAATGGATTCTATCCCATATTTTACAAAAATTCAATATATCTCTAAAAGAACTGTCCCACATATGTCCCACATATGACATTTACTTATTAAACTGCAGCTATTTCAATGATATGAAATATTTAAATAATTCATGGACATATAAAATCGATGATCAGAATTTTCGTACGATATCGAGTATTCGAATAATTGGAGTGTGATGGCAGTTTCTAAGTTTCTTCTGTATACCAGTCAACGAGTTAACCAGCTGGCTGTAGACGCGTCGTCGCGTCGGCTGACATTTGAAAAGTGCAACACTCGCCGCATGTTCAAACGGCTCGTTGCACCTTCCAAATTTAACGCAGCTCGCATACCGATGCGCGACACTCTATCCTCCATTGAAATATGCATGGCTGTTTTACGAAGATTGTACCGCAAACGAAGACAGTTGCCGTCGAATCAATAATCCTCCGAGCAAAACCGTCTGATCAAGAACCTGCGATCGAACTTTAAATCGACTTCACTCGAATGCAATTAAAATTGCAATTGTACACTTGTTATAATAATACACTTTACCGATATTGCATTTTATCATGAATTTACATTGAAGACGATGGAAGTTTGTTACAAATTTTTTAGTACGTTTTGTCATTCAAACTGGACAGAGCATATAAAGTTAGCACATCAAAAGAGTAAATTTGTTATTAGTGATCACGCGATAGTCGCAGCGTTAATGAGAAAAATTAGAATCGATTATCGTAAAGTTAGCAATTGTCTGCTGGTTCGTCCCTGAGCTCGAAAAGCGTTTTCGTAATTCCGGCGTTGTCTGTCTTGTCTGCCTAGTTCCCGAAATAAATCGTCCAAGATGCTGCCTGTTCGTGGCGGAAACAGACTGGTTCCTTATCCGTGGATGGAACAGTCGAAGGTGGAGCGTAAATGTTTCTTGCCTTATCTCGCTTTCATTCAATTTCATCTGCAACATAAATCTTGCGAATCGCCCTTCTTGCACTTATGTATTGATGAAAAATACTCCGTCATCTATCGGTTTCTTTAAAATAGAACAGATGAATTTGATGTAATTAAATTTGAACTTTGTAGAAATTTTATTTTGAAGAATTTTTCATGGAATATTTTTATATATCAAAAAGAATTGGTATATCGAATAAAGAGCAAAGATACCAATTACACACGGTTCACCGGTTTTCGATCAATCGTTTATTGTACGAATTCGTTGAATTCATCCAGACGATTCTAAAGTAAAATTTTTAACGACCCACTGACTGGAAGAGTTAGCCGTGAATCGTTGCGGCAAACGGGCCACCGTGTCTGTTCGATTAGTTCAATCATAACTTGAGCAATCAGAAGTTGCGCCGCGAAAGGACCTTCGTCCTCTCGTTGCTCAACCTACCGATAACTAAAGGAAACTTGCAGAGATAAGGGATGCTCGTGGTTATCTAGAGGGGGTGGTCAAAACCGAAATTGTTTCTGGCCCAGAACTCCTGTTACCGCACTCGTGGAACCACCCTTTAGGATTTTGGTAATTTGGAAATTTAGAGATTTCATCTGAGAGATCGAACATCTAAAGGTATAAAAAATCGCACAAATTTCCTTCGGTTCTAATTTAGTATTTCACCAGTAAATTTAAAAAATATCTATTGTAGAATTTTAAAGACTAAAGAGATTAGACGCCGTAATTTTATCGCATATGTAAATGTAACCTCGTTCCACATCGACTTCAACGGGGTTGAAATATTTTCGCAATATCTCGAAGCATATGTGCACTGTTCTCTGCTTTTTGTTTTTCAAGTTCGTTGTCATACACCGCAGGCCATTTGCGTGACGTTGAAATATACTAAACATATCCTAACAGAGTCTGATGTAACCATATTACTAGAATAACATGTAGAATACAAAGAAACTAAAAAGTAATACGTTAACGGAAGCGCTTCAGGGTCTCTACCCATTTTATATCGCAAACTTTGTGTCTAATATTCGAAGGCTAATAAAAATGATAGAGTTTCTAAAAAAATCTCCGGTAATTATAGATGAAAAATCTGGATGCAAATATCTGCCAAATTGAAGTGCACATCAGTCAAATTCCGATACACCGACACGTGGAAGGCTATTTATACTGGCACAAAGTAGAACGTAATTTTCCCTGGACCAAACAGGAAAATATTTTGGAAAGGTGTTTCGTTTCCGCGGGAAACGAGTTGCTTCTAGGACAAAGAATCTTGAGATTATTTATAACAATCGTTCTCTTTGATCTGGCATTACGTAACGTTTCGTACACGAGGATACGATTCGATGCGGACATTGTCGTTTAACGGCCGTCAGCTTCCGTCATGCGTATCCACCAGAATTCTATATTAAGCAACGAAGGATAATAAATAAGTTCGTAAGTTCTGAGGTTTGACGCGAGTGCCAAAAGTCTGTCGGGCCAAATAGCGCGAAAACAGAATTGTAGTAAAGGTTTACAAATTTTTATTTCTTGCCAGAGTCTTAAGTATGCAAATAGCGTTATATAAAATTAAAAAATAAAATTAACGCTGGTTAAAAGAGTAAAAGTGTTAAAGACCGTACCAGTTACGGATTAACAAGTTTTGCGTAAAAAAGGAGAACGTAAATATAGAAAACTATGCTCCATTAACGACAGGTGAACAATTTATTTCCGAGAAATAAAAAAGGAGAAGTTTTGTTTGTACAAAGTATGCGCGAAATGCGAGCGAAACATCGGAGCGTTCCTCTTCAGCGAGCTACATGCTCGAAACAGCCACGGTTTAACGGACTTCCGGAATTTCTCAGTTGAAAAGTTACTTTAACGGGCAAACATGATTGGCGCTGGAAAATCATTGATATAATTAGTACTTTGACAAAGCTACTAGTCTTCGCTGTATTATGTATTTAATTATAAGCTAGAAACTGCTAATTTCACTGGACTATGCAAGTTTCATTTTAGCGGCAATCTGGTTTTGGATATAAAGAGAATTTAAATCCACTATTTTACCAAGTAATATATCAGTAAATTGCACTACTATTTTTATTATATTCCAAATTTTATAAAATATAATTCTACAAATTTAGAATAAACTACTGTTTATCAGGATCGCTAATCATGAATTCTCAAGCAGAATCGGTTGTTCCGAAAATAAAAAAGGGTTAATCGATCTGGCTGTCGAACTTTTAATTGTTGCGCCGGTGTTTGCGTTATCGTCGAACGATCGGAAACTTTCGAAGCTTCATCGATAACCAAGCTTCTTTGCTGTTTAATGATAATAGCTACTTATTCCGGCTGAGGTAATTATTGGATCTCTCGCAAACCGATGAAAACTATATCGACGTTCGGTTCTATGAACGGCGCAGTTCGAGCGAAAAGAAAATTGGATTGTCTTCGACAAACCTTGGAAGCCGATATTCTACGGTTAGAAACACTCGCGATATAGAGATTGTAGCGGGAAATTGTGAGATAATTTATAAATCCATGTGGGAACAAAATGTTAAATATTTATGGAAATGAGGAATAGGAGACTTGAGGATTTAGGAACTAAGGGTAGGAATACAGGGGTGTGGAACATAGAGATCTAAGATTATGACAATATGAAAACGCAGAGAAATGTAGAAATTTTCTGAAGTCCAAAATTTTTCACGGTAATTGAAAATATGTCAATAAGAAATGACGTTCCTCCCCGTTGACAGAAATCATTTGAAAATTACCCGGTGGCAAGGCAACAAAAATCTGTGTGCCTCGACAAAGCTCGCGGAGAGGAACGCTCGAGGACAGAGGAGAAGAAAGGCGATGGCGCGACGCGACGAAACCGCGCGAAGAAAAGGGTGTGTGAAAAGAAGAAAGACCAGAAAGAGAAACATTGAAAAAATCTCGTAGCAGCCGTCCTCGAGAACCGAGGTTTTTCTTATTGTTTGCGCGCACGAAGAATACCTGTTTCACGGAACGCATTAAGGAGATGGAACGTGTTAATTGGAGTCGCGAAGCGTGCACATTCGTCGATTTTTAACGCGAATTCCTACCATTGTTGATCTGTTCGACGATTAGGATACAAACACAAAATTAATTCCCAAAGTTCCAAATTCCCAGGGTCCCAAATCTTGGAAACTTGTTCCTGTATTTATCATATATTCGGAGTACCATCGAATAAAGCTGACACTCGAATTATCTGTGTATGTCTGAGAGAGAGCGAATGAATGAGAAAGTACGAAAACAAAGCCACGTTAAGCTGGTTGCGATTGGTGTGTTGCAGACACGAGGTGCCTGTCACCTCGGAGCCGATCACGGTGATACACATGGACGAGGACGTCGTCGTGGTCAACAAGCCCGCCTCCATCCCTGTAAGTGGTGTACTGCCAGAACTGTACTGCCAAAAATGAAAAAAAACGCATGCGCCTCATCTGCACGTCTAGTCGATTGTTCATTCGCTTCCTGGTCGATTATTTTTGGCCAACTACCACGTAATAGTCGTGTTCTTGCACCAGGAAGCGACAGCATCGATTTCAATCTTGATCCCACTATCCTGAATGCTTTTATCCTTTTGTTGGAAGAAATTGCTGTTGATCATTTTACAATTTTCTACCCCCTTTTTATTTAGATAGCTGTTTGGTATATAGTTGGTGTACATAGTTGAATACTTTCTGTCAGGGGGTGTCTTTGGGTTTAAAAAAAATTTTTATTTTGCCAATTACGCAATGTAATTGAAAGTTTGTATATTCATGAGATTGTCAGTTTAAAAATTTGGAAACTTAGAAGTTTGCAAAATATTCCATCCTGTTTATCCTAAAAATTTGGAGCAATTTTTCTTATTAGTTCTACTTATTTTTCTATGGAGTAGACTTAAATGCAATCAGTTTATTTGTTCGCTAGCATGATGTCTGGTATACCTCCGATTTTATAGGGCTAATTCTGAACCACTCGGTCGATCGCTCTCTAATTTAAGAGTCGAAAAATAATTTGTCGATTGCGAACGATAAACGATCGTAGGTAGATTTACGAGAAGCAAAGTGGATGTTTAGATCCGCTAGGTTTTCTGGCATCCGAATGTTATGTGTACGGAAGATAAACATTAGAATAATATATTGGTTTTTTCAAAATTATCGATTCAGGGGTATTTTACAACATACGTAATTTTAATTTTTGACATTTACTTTATGCAATCTCTTCGCAACGATTTATGCAGAATTCGAGAGGATAAAAACATAAAGAAAAAGAACGAAAAGGTCGTTCAATCGTTAAAATCCTCGTGTCAGATACGCGTTTCTCTCTCCTTCGTACAATTAGTGTGTCATGGTAAGTTTCCGTTTCTCTTTGTCCGACAATTAACTGCACGCACGTTTAAACACGATTGTATTTTACTAATTTTTCCTATCTCCGACCGTCTTCGTCGCTTTACTCATCGTCCGGACTCGGCGACCTTCGACGTGGTAAAACGTTTATGAATAATCACTCGGCAATTTTCTTAAGCATTTTTACACGCTGACTACTTTGCGGTTTACGTACATTTCTTTATTCGTTTGCTCTAATCCTCAAACTCGAGTTGGGAATTTGGAATTCAGGGAATTTCAATGTTCACCCATTTCGATATCTATGCAACAATTAATATAATTCTAAAATTCGCAATAGTTTAATTAACGAGCGAAATTACTAATTTTAATTACTCGGACTCGGTAATAATCGCGGTACATTAACAACGCATAATTTCGAAATGGAGTAAAATTCATTATCCATTAACCATATACCTTTTCCTTCACGCCGAGTTCTCTGTACGGCAGGTAATCGCGTTATAATTGAAAATTACATGGTCACGTAACGACTGTGTGTAAATTACGTCTCGTTTCGATGCGTTGCCTCGCTGAAAGGGTACGATTGAAATTGCCGGGATTCTGTAGGCCACATTATCGCATGGATTGTCAGCTAGATAAATTATTCAGTATCTCTGACAGCCGCTGAGAATACCATCGAGATTGTTATGGGTTTCGTAACGGAGATTAATGGTAAAAATGATTTACGAAAAGATGAAAATGTTAACCGGTTGATGCTACTTTCTATTTCAACGAGATGTTGAAACTGTCGGCGCTTTTAAAAAATTCCGAATTCTTTCTTAATGCGACAATCATGAGAACGTTCTGAAATATTGCTTTTGAATGAAATAATCGGTGTCAAATTATCCGAGAAATTATGTTTATTTGACTAAACATATAATTCGGTAACCTAGCGATTTCGATTTGTAAAATTGTGAATGAAAAGCGCAGTGAGACTGTGGAAAACATTAAGCGACGCTTAATTACTGTTCGCCTGGCTCGTTTTTAATCACCGCAAAAAATATCTCACCCGACCATAAAACGATCATTTAATCACGGAGTAACAATGCTGCCGGGTCAGTTTTATTTTTCGAGCCTTTTATTCGGCTCGAAACGTTCGGAGATGAACGTGTTAAATTTTACGAGAAGTCTCGAATTTTTTCAAATCAAAATCTGTATTTTATTCTTCTCTAGATGGGTAGCGCTCCATTTTACAAAGGATTAAAACATTCAATGGGCAAAATAATTGAAACGGGAAAGAAAGATATTCATAGAATTTTGAAAATGTTGCGCGAATGAATCCGGAATAATATACGTTACAAATTAATTTTATTTACGATAAAAAAAAGAATACAAGAGAGAATGCATTCCGGTCCAGAATTAAAGTTGAATTGTTTCGATTTATTTTTACGTAACAACTTTTATTTCCGCGAGAGAGTTCTTTTTTCGCGATCCATCCCCGATATTCGTAAAAAATTCATGCCGGTACTTTAGCCGAGCAAATTCTATGAAAAGAATGATACCGTTTCGCAGTTCCAAGTTCGTTTTACAAAAGGAAAGAGAAAAGCGTGTCGACGATAGCTCGACTGCGAGCAATCGCCTTAAAAAATTAGGTCCACCGAGGAAAGCTTCTTAACGTAATAAAAAATAGTTTGACCTGAAAAACAGAGATGCCTCGAGCTACGCTATTGTGTATAAAGTGTTACGATAAAGGCAAATGCGTGGTTCAGAACTTCCAACATAGAATTCCCTTAATGGAACAAATTTTAATCGACGTAGAATCAAAAATAAAATTCGAACAAAAGATTCCCGAATGTCAAGTTATAAAGATCGTTTATTTCATAAAATGCATATTGGTTTGGCAGTGATTGGAGTCAGACATACAGCTAACGTGGAGAAAGAGACGTAAAGAAGGGTGTTAAAGGCAGGTTTATCGAGTGGCACTCGTTGTCAACCGGTTGTCAACGCATCTATCAGTTGTTACTTCCGGTTTACGTCCCATTCACACCTTCAATGGTTTCGTACTTATCGATTTATTGACGTTCAAAGACCTTCGAATTGTTCGAACGAGGACTTCGAATTCATTGACTTCTGTATATTGACGCTGCCTTCAAAAGAACTTTTACAATTTTGGGATTTTTAAACTTTCAGTATTTGACACTTTTTTATTTAAAAGTGCATTGCAGATGGGTTCACTGTTTGAAAGTTGTGCACTTTTTCGAAAAGTAAAAGAGATCACCGTAAACATAAAGTATTGTCTAAAAGCCAGATGCAAGTAAATAATTAAAAGGGCAGTCGAGCAGAACAGAAGGATAGAGCCCGCTCATCAGAAAACCGCTGGTCGTCAAATACCGGCTCGTCGTGTTTTTCCGTGTGACGGTTCCGGATCAGAGTCCCCTTCTGTCCACATTGTGGCGAGCACAAACACACTGTCCGGCACAAATGTTCCCCTTTGTCGTAGTCGATCATCAGTTTTTTTTCTCCTTCCCTCGAATGACCGAGAGAAATGGGTCGTAGCCGTCACTACGGCTGTGGATTCGCGTGGTGTTTGCACGTGCGTTCTCTTCGCACACACGTGAACCAGCGATCACGATGCGGATCGTTCGTCCACGGTAATATTCTAATGGTGGTTTGGAATTGATGGTGGTATGTCGTTTTTAAGGGGAGGCCACGCCTCGCACGTTTGCTTGCAGCTTCGTTTGTTTGATCAAGAAACTCGTTATCGGAAGAGGCACTTTTTTTAACAAAATGTTCTTGATACGATGTTCATTTTTCGATCGAAGCAATTTTGAAATTTGGAAAGTTGTTAGGAAATTGGATGCATGGGTTTGAAAGGGTCAGCATTTTAAGATCTTAGCCAAACTTTTTAATTCCTAAACTTCTACATTTCCAAATTCTGAGTTCCTAAATTTCTAATTTTCCAAGTTTCTCCAATAACCTCTAAGTAAATAAACATGGCAAATGAGTTTTGAAATTGCAGGTGCACCCATGTGGTCGGTACCGACACAACACCGTTGTCTTCATCCTTGCGAAGGAGTATAACCTGAAAAATCTCAGGACGATCCACAGGTTGGATAGACTGACCAGCGGTATTCTCCTTTTCGGTCGAACACCGAAGAAGGCGAGGCAGATGGAGCACCAAATAAGAAACAGACAGGTTCGTTTCGTAACGTTGGTATGCAAGGGAAAACTGGCCGCATTTCGATCTTGTTCAAACTTACTGCCGATGTTGCTCGATGTAAAACGGTTCAAGAATCCATTACTTCTTCGGTAAAGAAACCGAATTGCGAAACATAATGAAAAGTTAATGTTTCAGAAAGTATTAGAAATTTCAGAATTACAAATTGATAGAATTCCACGGATTCTTATTTCAACGTATAAAATTTAATGTTCCAGGTCCACAAGCAGTACGTGTGCCGAGTAGAGGGTGAGTTTCCTGAAGAGGAGGTGGTTTGTTCAGAGCCAATCGAGGTGGTGTCCTACAAGATCGGCGTCTGCAAAGTGTCCGAGAAGGGCAAGGACTGTGTGACCCGTTTCAAGCGTCTGAGCTACAACGGCAAATCGTCGGTGGTCCTCTGCAAGCCTCAGACAGGTCGAATGCACCAAATCCGGGTACATCTTCAGTACCTGGGGTACCCGGTGGTGAACGACCCTTTGTACAACCACGTGGTGTTTGGTCCACAGAAAGGGAAGGGTGGGAACATCGGGAAGACCGACCAGGAGTTGGTCAGAGACCTGATCAGCATTCACAACGCGGAGAACTGGCTGGGGATGGACGGCGACTCGGAGATGAGTCTGTTCAAGCCGAAATTGGACATGGAAGAGCGTGTTCTGAGCAACGACAAGGAGGGCTCTTCGCCCTCTTCGACGCCCAGCCTCGGCGAAGAGGAACAGCAACAACAGCAGGAGCAATCGTTGAAGGTGACAGTGGGCACTCAGACGGGATCGGAGCCACCGGACTCCAGCTTCGCGAACGATAAGCTGACCGTCGACCCGCACTGTTACGAGTGCAAAGTGAAGTACAGAGACCCGAAACCATCCGATCTGGTTATGTATCTGCACGCGTGGCGCTACTGCGGCCCAGGGTGGGAGTACGAGACCCCGCTCCCGGCGTGGGCGGCCAGCGACTGGAAAGAGGAGGACCGATAGTTCCGATGGTTCAGGAACCACTCGGACGAGATGTCATCACCCCTTTTTTGATATCCTTACCCCGTGCCTTCCATCCGCCAGCGAGCGATCTCGACCATCGTACATGTACCCAACCCTCTGACCAGGTCGCTGGACTCGCGAGCACGAGAGACCTCCATGTTGGTCCTACGAGAAGGTGTCACGCCCGTCTGTGCTCATTCGAGGATCATGTATTCGAAAAGACCTTGGTAATGAAGATACGTTGAGACCGGAAAAATAACAGCAGTCATTTGGAAGAAATCTTCCAGTTACAATGGAATAGACGTAGCTCTGGTGGGTTTTCCAGAATGTGTAGCGTTAGCATTTAAGGACGAATGCCTTTACAAAGTACTGCGAGCGGTTCTTAGCGTTTTCCGGATGTTCCAAATCCGTTTGGATGAACCGTAACTTTGAGAATTCGTGATTCTATCACGGTAGCGGCGAATCCATCAAGTTTCTCGCGTTTGAACGTTACTGATAGATGGAGATTCTGCCTGTCTCACGGCAGAGTGAATCTACGTACTGCATGCAGGTGAATCGCGTAAAAATATTGAACGGTCTACCTGGCACGGGACGATGCAACGATCCTGACTGGTTCTATACACGGGTCGACCGAAAAGTCACTGCCACGGATGTGCACGGGAGAAGATTGATGCAACTGTCAGCCACGGGAACCTGGATGGATCGTTATCGTTCGTGTACTTGATTTATGATGTAGATAGGAGCGAAAAACGACGATCTACTATGAGGCCTCGTGACAGCTACGGAATTTTTTGCCTATAATTTTGACAGAAAACGCGCTCCGAGTCATTAGCTATGCCGTTTCCATCAAATTCTCTCAGTTGGTAGAATACAAAAGCTCTGTTCTTCCAGAGACATGATTGATCGGCGGTAACTTCGTCTCCAATTTTCTGAACTTCGAACGTTAACCATTTGCTTTTTTGCCATCGCTATCAATTATGTAAAGCTCTACCATTTGAGCATCAACCAATTGAGTATTACGTTTCTGGTAATCCATTCCTTCAGCAATCTTTAAATTATATTAAGTTACACATTCTATCTGCATAGTCATTTATAAAAAACATCTACATTCTGATCAACGACTTGTGGATTAGCACAGAGAACTTTGAATAAATATTCCAATCGAGTTTATCTGAGAAACCAACGTCATCAATATCGGACCATCGTGTAGATTACAATATATTCATCGAATACATGTCCTTTCACAACGCGTATAAAATGCTTCGATGACTGGTGTTGAATGCTCATCCTCGATAGCGGCGCAGGCAAAGGGCTGACGTAGAAAACTGCAATAGAAATGCGTCTATTTTTATGGTTGATTATATATACGGGAACTAAATAATGGCGCAGGTCCAGCGGCAGGGGTCTCCAACAATAAGCGTGATCTTGCCACAAGAATATAGCCAACGATCATGCCAAAGAGCGAGCGCGTGTCTAGCGAGAGAGAGAATGAGCGTGAGAGAGGGAGGGAGAGAAAGAGAGTGAGAGAAAGAGCTTCTTCCAAGTCATATCGTGTACGTGTACCTTGTTCCCACGCGAGTCGAAAGACCGCGTCCAAGTGGCAGGACTTGCAACAAGTACAATCGAGCGAGTGAAATAACGAGATTAACGTCGTACATTATTTTGCTACGAGTCACGTTCGTCTCCTCTAGCGGGGCTATATATAGGGTTTTATTGTATGTTGGGATATCTGTGAGTGGCAGTGGGAATTCAATTATATCCATAATTACCGACAAATTTTGTTCTGTTTCATAATTGTTCAGATAAATGTTCGATCCCCTGGAGGGAGTACCTGGAACTTCTGTTTGCCTTCAGTAGTCTTCTAGTTGCGTACTGAATTTGGCAACAAATCATGAACTTTTCGGTATTTAAATTAATTTAAAAACCCTCCACAACCACTTACAAATGGAAACAGTTGTATCTGATATACAAAAGGGAACAATAATCTCCTTTTCTACGCAGAGGCTTTGTAATAAATCTACAAAATAAACTGTTAAAAAGGAGACAAATATAAGAATGTAACTTTTAGAGTTCCCACAGCTTCTCGCGGTTCTCGAGAGCAAGGAGCAAACAGAGAGAACAGTGGACAGAGATTTTAGATAGATATACGTAGGAGGGAGATAACGTAACAACGGACCTATCATAAAAGACAGTGTGTGCGCTTACTAACTCACCCGGGATAGCTTGCCCGAAGCGAAAGTAAGCTATCCCGACTTGTAATGGCTAGCTTAATTTTATTTAAGTAAAACTAACTCTCGATGATATCGAAAAGAGGAAAATGACAAAAAAATGAGATGTAAACGAGGAAGGAAATTAAAAAGACAGTCCCGATTTTAGCGGCACAGAGAGAAAGAAAGACATCGGTTTGTAAATCGAGCGAGCGCTTTTTGTATGTACATATATATATTGTATATTGTATACGCACATTGTACCGTAATCCGAGCGACATTATTATCATTGTACCGTAGTCAGCGGAACGTTAGAGCTAGAGAATTTTTTCTTGTATAATGAACGAATAAATGCAAAGTATCGTTCGATATAAAAGACCGTGCCAACATTCTCTTATTTCAGTTTCCGGTCCCGTCGAATTGTTTCGCCCCCTTATATTTTCATTTACCAAACAATAAAAAACGAATATTCGAAATTACACGGTTTATCTTGTCTCACGTTGTATCACGTACAAAATCATGTTTCTCCGAAACATCGCATCTACTCGCATACAAATACAGATTACACTTTTCTATCTAGTTTATTTACCGGACAGTCAAAAGTTGACCAGAGTCCGGTAGAGTTACAGAGCAAATTCGACTACAGCGCGCTTCGGTTCTTATTTATGTACACTGCAAGTAAATACAAAATAATAAAGATAAATTAATTTCTTTACATTTCACCCATTTAGTCGACAGGCAAATAAATGCGGCAATTAAAACTTTTCTAATCTACCTCTTTATTTTCTAACGGGACACAGCTTGTTTACGTTGCCTGATACGTTCTTCTATCTCAGGTCTAAAATGCCTGATCAATCCCTGTACCGGCCACGCTGCACCATCCGCTAAGGCGCAGATAGTGTGCAGTTCAATTTGTTTAGTGAGCTCCCATAACATATCTATCTCGTGCTCTTCTGCTTTGCCCTCCACGAACCTACATGGACACATTTGTTTAGTATTTCCTTTCATGTTCGATAAAATAATGATAGGGACAGTCACAATACTCATTTACCTCTTCATGATTTTGAACATCCAGCTAATTCCTTCGCGACACGGAGTGCACTGACCGCACGATTCGTGTTTGTAAAAGCTGATGAGCCGCGTGATGGCTTTAATAATATCGGTTTGCTTATTCATTACGATCACAGCTGCGGTACCAAAAGAACTCTGCACTCTGACAAGGTCATCAAAGTCCAACAATACTGTATCACACACGCTGTAAATTATTCAGAATTAGTAAAAATTTTGAAACGTTGTTACTTGAGATTTAATACCTCTTTGGAATAACTGGTGTGGAAGATCCACCAGGGATCACACCCAACAGATTATCCCATCCACCAATCACTCCTCCAGCATGCCTTTCAATGAGTTCTTTCAAGGGAATGGACATTTCTTCTTCTACCGTGCAAGGGTTGTTTACGTGTCCGGAGATGTTAAACAATTTTGTTCCATGATTACGTGGCCGGCCGAATGATGCAAACCACGATCCTCCTCGTCGGCAGATAGTCTATACAGGAAGTTTTAATTTTAGGATAAGAATTCAGTCTATGTATAACCATTTCACAATAGTATAAAATATGTGCCAAATACATACAGGGGCCACAGCAACTGTTTCAACATTAGTGACAGTGGTAGGGCATCCAAACAATCCAACATCAGCTGGGAAAGGTGGTTTCAATCTTGGTTTTCCTTGTTTTCCTTCAATAGATTCAATGAGAGCTGTTTCTTCTCCACAAATATATGCTCCAGCCCCTCTTTGCACAAATATATCAAAATCATAGCCAGAACCACAAGCATTCTTTCCAATGAGGCCAGCTTGATAAGCCTCAGCAATGGCAACTTGCATGTTTGATGCCTCATTATAGAATTCACCACGAATATAGATGTAAGCTGCACAAGCACCCATTGCACGACCAGCAATAAGGCAGCCCTCCACCAACTTGTGTGGGTCATGACGTAAGATTTCACGATCCTTGCAAGTACCGGGTTCTCCTTCATCTCCATTTACTACTAAGTATTTTGGCCTTCCATCAGATGGTTTGTTCATAAAAGACCATTTCATGCCAGAAGGAAATCCAGCACCTCCACGACCTCTCAGACCAGAGACTTTAATTTCATTGATGATCCAATCTGCACCCTTCTCTATGATCTCCTTGGTTTTATACCAATCTCCTCTGCTCAGAGCACCTTTCAACCTCCAGTCATGTCTTCCATATAAATTAGTGAAGATACGGTCCTGGTCAGCCAAGGGACCACCCTTTTTCTGCAGAAAAAGAAAAGGCACTGTACAATGTTGAACAGAAGTACCAGCACAGTTAAATTTCTTTTCATCGTACAAAGGATGAAACATGATAAAAATAAACGTACTTTTCCCTCCGGCGCAGCATCGGCAAACGTTCTCTGCGGCTGGCTACTTAAGCCTGCTCCAAGGAGACCTTAGAATCAAATGAATCCCTTTAATTACATAACCTTGTCTTTCGACGGCGACACAAATCACCAAAATTCTTGTCAAATTCAAAAACAATCAAACATCTATGTGTCATACAATCTAGTTGGCCTCGAACCTCTTTCGAACACTATGCACGCTACGAAAAATCAAAGCAACTTCACGACTCACCCAATTGTCTCCTCGGAACCTGAAAACAACGCACTATGGCACCAGCCATTTTGCCGTTTGCAGGTTTCCTGAAGTTCACTACGTTAGTCTTTCCACTGGGAAATCAACGCTATGGGCACCTCGTGGTGCGTTCGTGAAACAGGCGAGCATGAGATTGAATACGTGGTCGTTGCTGTTTTGTCGTCTGTTTTCGCGAAAGGCTAGATTTAGTGCTGGTCCCGAAACGCCGTTAAAATGTCATACGATGGTTGGTAAAAGCAAACATTTCGTTACATGATGGAGAAACTAGAGTTTTCTAGCCCAGTCACGGTCCTCGGCTATCAATAGACACCTGTCTAAACGACTGTGACGAAAGCGGGAATCTTGACGACGGCATAGTGATTGTTCGAGTCAGCATGCCTTCCAGAAGAAATAATTGTGGCCTTTTGGCCAGGGTGAATTTTCCTTTGTATACCTTGCAAATGCTCACGAGCAGGCATATCCTCGTCGGTGGTGGAGGAGGTTCTTCCAAAACTGGAGTAGCTAATGGTTTTGTAAGTGTTTGAACATGGTTTTCTCTTTTGTAGAACATTAATTATGTAAATTAATTACTATCCATTTTCAGGAAATATTTGAGTTGTCTCATGATGGATATCAATTCATTGCTGAAGAAGTTACCAGACATGAGACTGGTCCTAGCGTAGTCATGAATTGCACTGCACATAATGATGGCAAAAGGACATGGATTGCAGCTGGTCAAGAAAGCCATTGTCAGCTGTATAATGTAAATAGCAAAGTAGTAACTGTGGAAAATGGGGAAATAGTTAAAGACAAAGATGGTAATGGTAAAGAAGGCCTTAGGCATAGAAAGAGTTCAGATAAAACTGAAGAGAATGTCCTTTCCAAGGAGAGGATAGAGGAAATTAAGGATGATAATTCAAATATTAGAAGTAAAAAACTGCAGCTGATTGTGAAACCAGCTGACAGTGTACAAACAGATTTTAGGTAACTGTTATACATATATTTATAATAAATGTATTTAGTAATATATTCATTGATCATGTATTATAGCCAAGATGAGCCTCTTCAAAGGATTGTCAGAATTAGTTTAAATGGAAAGTTCATGGCTACTGGTGGAACTGATGGTCATATCAGATTGTGGAAGTTTCCACAATTACAAAAATTACATGACTTAGATGCTCACACAAAAGAAATTGATGATGTGGACTTCAGTCCAGATGGATCATTAATTGCAAGCATTGCAAAGGATGGCAAGACCTTTTTATGGAATGTAAATAATGGCTCAAAGCTCAAGGAACTAACTTGGACACCTCCAAATGGATTAAAGTATATGTACAAAAGATGCAGGTTTCAAAAGCTGGAGGAGGATAAATCCAAAACAAAACTTTTCACCCTATCTAATGCAATAGTTGGAAAGAATCCTAGCTTCTTGCAAATGTGGGACATTGAGTCTGGAAGTGTCATTAAGACAGTCCCTTTCAAAGAAACTTTATCAGCCTTAGCAGTGTCTGATGATGGAAAATTTGTGGCTGTTGGAACAATGTTTTCTGGTAGTGTGGACATATTCATTGCATTCAGTTTAAGAAGGGCTTTGCATGTACCTGGTGCACATAGTATGTTTGTGACTGGCCTAGAGTTCTTACCAACTAAACTAGATGGTCCTGCAATTACTAGTAACACTGAAACAGCTGTTGTCAGTATTTCTGTGGATAATAAAATTTGCATACATAGCATACCATTTAGACGTGAGTGATCAAACAACTTTATGTAAGCTTCATGATTATTTATAAGATAGCTGAATATTTTTATTGTGTTACAGATACACTGCCATTCTGGTTTGTCATCATACTTGTTATTCTAAGCATCTGTGGAGCTTTTATTTTCTGCAGTTACCTTGGAATATGACCTGAAGAATATATATTTTTAATAACATCGAAAAGAGCAGTACTTTTTCTAGGATTCCTTGAAACTAAATGAAACATTGAAGTTTCTGACGTGTTTTTCGTAGATTGTGAAAAACTTAATAGAAAAGAAGAATTGTAATTCTTTTCCTAAAATTAATTGCACGATTTCGGTGACAATTTGTGCAGTTCGTTTGTTAGTAAACTGTTTATTGCTTCACATACAAGGCAGAAAGATTGTTTTAATTTTCATTTACATAAATAGTTGCTGAAGTGCTGCTGTGATAAACAACTACCTTGTACTAGACACACTATTTGGCAGACATCATTGTAAATAGATGTTTTTATTCCCACGCATATTTTTTTACTTCTGGAGACCAAGTACTTTTTTTGCCTTCATTGCATTTACGTTTGTGTATAATATTTTTTACGTGTACAGTGAGACATTAAAATGTAAAATGTTGCATAGTTTCTTTATCATTAAATATTTACATCGTTTTTATTCCATTTTTTGTAATTATTTTTGGGTGCATTGATTTTTAAAAATCACATTAAGTGGAGCTAGATATACATATGCATATAAATAGCATGTTACACAGAGTTTTAATAACTTTTCTTAAAAGCAAGTTGCCATAGGACGTTACGAAAACACGTTGTTACAAATCAAACTTGTACATCAGGTTGTGTATAGGTAATACGAATAATGTACATTTTGTTAATGTAATAAATAGGTGTCAAACATTCAATAAGAAGCATCTTTTTATAAGTTCGGTATAATAATTCTTTGTCGTATCCAAGAAAGGGAGGAAAAATAAAAAATTTTATAGGAATATAAGTTCTTATTTATTCGCAATAATACATTCTATTGTTTTTCGTGAAAATCGAAAAAGCATTCTACGCAGAAACCCGGTTGCCCTGTGCAAATATTGCATTGATATGTAGTATCTTTACGAACGCTTCGCATTCTACACATTTTGCATTCTTTCCTCATTGTGACTTTAATGTTCTTTTTAAGATCTTGCTTTATATTTCCAATTTTTGAAAGTCTATGTATAGATTTCAGTGTTTTCATGTTCTCCTTTTTAGGTAACAGAACCTCCAGAACTTGCATCTTATAATCATAGAAATTGCATTTTCGATTGGAAAATTTATTGTACAAGTAAAAGGAATTTAGAAAACTTAATTGTAATATGTGCACGAATATCTTCTTATACCATCTCAAGGTTTTTCTCGAACACGGATAATTAGCCATCATTTGGTCTTGTTTATTTACTCCCGACATATATTTATTATAATTAACGATAGCCTCTGGTTTATGTTTTATAACATTTTGTTTATTTCTCATTTCAGTCATGTTGTCCATGAACTCGGTAGTTATATAAAAAATATTCCGTTTATCGCGGAACTTCCCAATATGTACACCGTTACAAAATACCGATTTATTTTCTCCCTTCTTCAGTACAGCTGAAGTCAACTCTTTTGGGATTTCTTTCTTCCCTTTATTCAGAGTCCCTGTACAATAAGTGTTATGATTCAACAGTTTTACCGCTAAATCGTACGAATTATAGAAACTGTCCATATAAATACTGTGACCACATTGCAGCTTATTCTGAAACAATTTCAGTACAATTTTTTCTGCTTGAGTGGTACCTACTGCATCATCTCCAGCTTCTGAATGAACCTCAAGTTTTATAATTGTACCATCTGGTTCTGTTAGCATGTAGAACTTGATACCCTGTTTGTGGTATTCATTTTTAATAACCTGACGGATTATTGGTCTCTCCCTCCACAATAACATTGATTCAACCAACAAAAGTTCTTTACCAGGATAATAAATATTATTCATGGTATTGTTAAAGTGATCAATAATGAGACGTACTTTACATAGCTTATCACTAGATTCAACATTTTGTACATCAACAGGTAAGAAATGCAAACAGCGCAAGATCAACAGAAACCTGTTTCTAGACATGTAATTACTAAAGCAACAATAATTGAAAAGCCAATGTGTTTTCCAATAATCGTTCAACTTAGGTAATTGAACTGTTCCAGTGTGCAGAAGCAGAGCAACAAATGTTTTCAATTCTTCTATGGTAAGATCTTTCCAGGCCCTGACTCTTGAAGACTTTCTCATCTCTTGATGCAGAAGATGCTGAGCATACTCATTTGTGTATTTGACAATATCTGCGAAGAACTCATCTGTAAGTATCATTTGAAAAAACTTCAGTGGTTCACAGGGTGCTGGTATTGGCACCAACAAAGACTGTTGTTTTATGAATGGAACAGTTTGCATAGAGGAACTATCTGAAGACCAATGAGTTTCTATGTTAGAATTCGAATCTTGTGATTCATCTGCAGATAATTCGGAGCCGCAATCGTCGCTCTCGGACTCAGAATTTAATTTACAGTCACTCGAACTTGCAGATAAATCACTGTCACTGTCGTTCAATTCTGTTTTGCATAAATTAGCGATACTAGCTAAACTTTGCTTGCATTGTGACGAATTGCGCTTTCTTTTGCGGGAAACGCGCGATGGCCCAGGAACAGAATCCATTCTTATCTTTCCGTATTTTCGATTTTAAGCTGGCGGGAGGCTACGAAACAAACGGCTCTCTTTGTGAAACACTGAGAAAATACTGACGCTTCGAAACGTTATACATATTGGGGTAAAACGAGCTCGCCTGACCGGACATTTGATGTTGACGATCGAGCACGCGATATCGCGTGACCGCCACTCGAATAGACCGTAGGATTCCCCTTGGCTGGAAATACGGGTAGAGGAGGGGACTTCCACCACTTGTCTTCTTTTCGTTGAACTTAACCTAAACCCGCGTGAGGAACAAGGATGAACAGGGCCGCATTTACCATAAATAGCATTAAATCGTAGATGGGGCCTCACTTTCTGGGACCACATCTTGAAACATCACTTCATTATTTCCAAGGACATTAAAAATAGTCAATTAGGAATCTAATGGAATAGATAGAGGACCTCATGCGGTGAAACTAAGAAACTTCTGAACGAAGATTAGCGATAGACAAAGGCTGCAGCAATTTTGGTTTAAAAAATGTAAGTCGATGGAAAGATAGAAGTATGGTAGAGCGGATTTGTTCTTTCGGGGCCTAATAACGATGAGCTGGAAGCTTTCAAAGTATAAATGCGGTCCTGAGGATGAATAAAACCGATGGTTACCGTCCGTACTCTTCTCTCTCCCCTAATCGAGCGACTGTTGCACGCAATCGCTGCTTATCATTAATAATCATGCACGCGATATCGCGTGATCAACGACAACTATGTTAGTGTTAGAATGTGAAAATCAAAGGCATAGAAAAGCGCGGTTAGTGACCCTACAACGGTGTTCACAAAATTATCAAAGTAAAGGACGAAATATTCTTGTATAACTAAACTTTATACTTAAATCAATATGTAAATAAAGTAATTTAGGAATCTCATTTAACAAGGAACATATAAAAAGCAATAATTTATTGTAATATAGTTATTACATGAAAGGGAAAGAATTTTGAGAGGATCATTTTCGAGTTATCAAAATTCAAATATTCGCGCGTCAAAGCGGAGCAATAAAGAAACATATATTTCTATTTTTTCGTAAAATAACGCAATCTCAAGGCGTGTAGGCGATTGCAAATCATTCTAAGCCTTCTATAACATAAGAAAAACGGCATTAGGGCAAGCTGTAAGCGTTATATTCGAAAATCAGAAAAACGTGCATTTCATGGACCAAAAAAAAGCCGACCACCTAGCGGTGAAAGTTGGAACTACAAAAATAGAAAATCTCGATTTTCTCGAAAACTAGGGACTTTTCCGAAATTCTGAGATATACAAATTGTTCCTTATCGCCTACGGAACCGAATGAGTGCTTTCATAGCCCTCTAGGACCATTATTAAGGAAAATAGAAAAATAGCCCATTTCATGGACTAAAAAATTGCCGTCCATCTAGCGGCGAAAGTTGGAACTAATCGAAAAAGTCCATAAGCCGGCCACCTAGCGGTGAAAGTTGGAACTACAAAAATAGAAAATCTCGATTTTCTCGAAAACTAGGGACTTCTCCGAAATTCTGAGATATACAAATTGTTCCTTATCGCCTACGGAACCGAATGAGTGCTTTCATAGCCCTCTAGGACCATTATTAAGGAAAATAGAAAAATAGCCCATTTCATGGACTAAAAAATTGCCGTCCATCTAGCGGCGAAAGTTGGAACTAATCGAAAAAGTCCATGAATTACACCTTTTTTCTAATTTCGCTATTAATAGTGCTAGCGTGTTATAATGGTATTCGTTCGATTCCGTAGGCGACAAGGAACAATTTGTATATCTCAGAATTTCGGAAAAGTCCCTAGTTTTCGAGAAAATCGAAATTTTAGGTTTTCGTAGTTCCGCCGCTCGCCGCTAGATGGCGCCACCTGTACAGTTTTGGAAAAAATCTGTAGGTACTAATGAAACTCTATATTACAAGTGGCGCCGCCTAGTGGCGGAAATCAAAACTAACGAAGGAGGTGTCAGAAATGAGTGTAGTTCACCCCGTTCGCCGGAGAGATGGCGCCACTAGAAAAAAAATTTTTTTAGCCCCCGCCGCAATATAAATTTTTTAAAAAATATACGTAAATGCGGCTTCCTGAATATTGTTAACTTATTTAATTAATAACTTTTTAACAAATTATTGTACATTTCACAGATTTTATGTTTTCCGGAAGATGCAATGTTACACTAGCTATTACGTAAATGATGTATTCAAATTAATTTAATGATATAATTAGATAGCGATACTAATGTACTTTAATGCTCAAAGATTTTTTTTTCTATTTTTTTACCGGCCCTAATTAAAATTGATTTTTTGCCTTAATTAATGCTATTATTGCATGAAATTACATCGGAAATTAATACTAAATAATTTTAGAATGTCCTGAATGTATTAATAAACCAGGAAAGTCAATAAATGCAGAAATTATAAGTGTTTTATTAGTACCTACTTTACAGCACGATTAGCGCTATTCTCTATCGGCGCCAGCAAAATGAATTTTGAAATTAATATAACAATGTAGCTTCGGAATAAAAGTATCTAATGCAAATATACATTAGAAACTTAAGTGACGGAAATAGTTCTTTTAGGAATCCAGTAACGAAAGTTTGTCCTTGAGTTTTAGTGGATGAAAGTGCATGGAATTTTGCCGAGTCGATTGAAAAAGAATGTCGTCCGAAATCGAAAGGTGCCTTCGGGCAACAAATTAGCGAGTGGACAAGTCAGCAATGACATTTTACGACCTTAAGCCTGGCGCCTACCGATGACTTTCAAGGCTGCGAAGTAACAACACCTGAATAACGAATCCTGCGGCCAGGATTAACACGTCTCTTCGTTCGAAAGTTTTCGAAATTTGCTTCTCCGCGTTGCACGCTCTTGAAAATTCTCCGTTCTTTTTTCACTGCGTCGAAAGGTTAAAAGAATCATACCTGTGACATTTCGTAGTTTCCTCCTTCCTTCGTGAACAATCGTCACGTAATGAACCGTGATTTATGATGATTGTATATTGTAAAATTAAAAATTGATATTCCCTCACACATGTTCAGATTTTGTAAATTGATTGATTATATAATTAATTTTATTTTGCAACTTCCATCAAATTCTCACCTTATGCAATGTGGCAGCTTCCATGATTATAAATTTAATTATTCAAAAAAATTTTGAGTAATAACGTACCCATTTTGCAATATAACTTAATAAAATAAGGAGAAGGGAAAGTAAAAAGTATGTGTTAATTTTTCGAAAAACATTTATTGCGAAACACCTTCATCAGGACTCTAAAAAACATATTTCTTAATTAATCTCACGCGTCTCTTAAGCGCTAACATAAATCAAAAGGTGTGTTTGTGAACGGCGATCGGCGAAGGCACGAAATTGATCGATCCTTCGTCAGGACATGTGCATAACGAACCGCAGAAGAAAGGGATAAGGATCAGGAGGGCAAGGACACGGTGTTTATGTACAAGTTGAATCAATTTGTAAAGGACACGTCCACCTTTCACCGTGGAGGACCTATACTCGCTCGTAGAAAACGTTTCGCGAACATCTACCTACAGAATCCTATGACATCGTTAACATTCCGACGACACATTCTATCGTACAGTAATTCATTCTCGATAACATCAAGTATCATTCTTTCCAATTCCGAACAGCTTACCTACTCTTCGACTCGTGAATATTCAACAATGCAGAGCATGAAATAGAAATGCGGAGGTCACCATTGCCACGGTAAAACTTTACCGATTTAATTTAAGAACGATTAATCAATAAGTTTTCCCTGATATATAAAATATTCGCATAAAAGATCCGGTGTTCACGTATAAAATAGTGTTTTTATTTTGTACGAGTACCTAACTTTCAAAAGTACACTACTTGTATATAAATATAAAATAGTATTTCTATTCTCAGAGAGATCTTCAATGTTCTCTCGAGCAGCCATTTTGATTCCTACAGAGATTCAACAATCTCTAATTTCGAAATAGATTTACCATAAATTTCTATAAAAATATATTTTCTACAAACAACGCGACCGATGTTAACTAATTCGATTCAGTCTGCAGTTAATCGTTTCTGTTCGCGAAACGTTCTTGGCGCGATATTTTGACGCGTGCTCCTCAAGAAAATCGCGCCTCGATCAGGTTCGTTTCCTTGAAGACACGCGCCAGTCGATCGACAGATTTCTCTGATGGATCGCTCATTTGTTCGCGGTAAAGCCGTCACCGGTTGGGTCTAACAACCAGGGGTAATAATTCGGGCACTCCATGCAGGTGAACAAACGGAGGGTTTCACCGGGGAGTTCCCTGGTGGTCAAAGGACACGCATTAGGAAGGGAACAGTACGGTTGTCCCTTCTCGTCACAGGTCTCCTTCCAATCCTGGAAATCCCTCAAAGCTGATAATTCGGTCGGCGTTTGCATCCATTTGATTACCTGCGAAATGTTAAGCAATATATTTCTGAAACCATCATAATGTTCAATTAAAAGCTCAGTAATTTCTGCGTTCGGATATAAAGATACTCAGAGGCGGGGAAATTGCTGGTATGTCTAGATTGAAAACGGGAAACGAATCAAGGTAAATCGAAATAAAAACAAGCCTGAGAGGAACATTGCTGCGGCGAGATTGGAAACGAGAGATAAATTGAAATAAGGTGACCCGTGGTTCACAGGCTCGGAAAATAGCTTCCTTCTCTTTTTTCTGATAAAAACGACAGGTACTGATTGCTGTATTCTGCTGTGTCGCGATGAAATAACAAATTATCGATTTGTCTAAGTATGAGGAAATATTGTCTCGAAGATTTTTTTCTGTTTGACCTGATTCAATAATTAACGTAAGGGTCAATCTACTCTACTAGTAGCTATCAGTATGTCATCTTTTCATCCTATAACTATGACACTTACCTGGACCATGGTAACGAAGTACACGTCACTCCTAGCGAGCATCTCTTCAATAAACTTGATCAGCTCCTCCCTGTACTCCTTCTTGCTCTTCAACCACGAGGCATGGAAATGCAGACCCAGAGGTGCCCTGTTGCTGTTGAAGTGTCTGTTGAAGTTGTGTCTGAGCAGCCTGGCGAACTGTTCACCCGTCTGGATGTTGGAGCAGGAGTCGACCATGTGGCAACCAGGCAGGGACTCGTCGAACGTCGGATCGTCTCTTCTGTCCAGTTCGTTCATCACCATCTCCCAAACAGGATGGGACCTTGACGGACAGTTTCCACCGTTTCCGTTGCACTTGTGCGGCATTCTGAAGTAGAGGGTGTACGGCCAGATGGGTACACGGCCCAGGGACGCGGTGATGGAGGCGTCGTAGACGAAGAACTGGTCGGCCATCATCTCGAATTGCTTGTTACCACCTACGCGGAGGTACGGAGCCCTCATTCCGATGATGGAGCCGTCGGTGATGTTGGCGAAACGCTCGATGATCAACCTGGCACCCGCCATCTCCGCTAACCAGTCGTCGTAGCTACCCTGGGTCCAGTACTGCGGGTCATCCTTGTGGGTCAGGGAGAACACAGCGATCTCGTGGCCTCTTCTGTGCAGATCTTGCACGGCAGAGTAGTTGGTGTACTTGTGGGACACGAAGAAGGTACCCCTGATCTGACAGCCGTTGGGATTCTGACGTTGGCCGTTGAAGATCTCCTCGTACAGGTCGATGTTGTCGACGTTCACGGCTCCGTTGAAGGTTATGGTGATCATCTGAGGCACCTGGGAGGGCTCGATGTTACCAGGAATCCTGGTACCGTCGGCGGAGCAGTAGCAGTCGGGGAGGACGCACTGGGTAGGGTCGCAATCTGGTGCGCGATTGGGGTCTGTTTCCACGGCTGCGATAATAAGGTAACGGGTCAATTATCCAACTCAAAGTGTTTTGTCAATGCAATTGGATCGAGTCAGAGTCTTGTGAGAAAATGCAATTACAACTTACTGCAGGCATTCTCGTCGGATTCGTCCTTGCAGTCCGGTTTACCGTTGCAGAAGAGCTCCTTGTCTACGCATTCGCCGTTACCGCACGACAATTTTCCCTCGGGGCAGACGGGTTCGTCGGTCCTCAAGATGGGCAAGACCTTACGTGGCTCTGTAAACGTAATCCTCGTTAAATGGACTGCCGTCTTAGGTCCTTGTGTATTTCTCCCAACGGTGTTTAGCTGCAAACTCTACTTTTACTTCGCCCAACTCTATGTACTGGGATTGGTACACGTGCAGCGGCGTAGGGATACGATTCTACGTCGATTCTTTTCGTTTTAACCCTTTCGTTGCTCGTTTCATTGACAAATTTTTAGTTTTGCTAATAGTTGTTTATTATTGAGGGCGTCGACTGCCATGGTTGCCGTCGTTAAGTGTTCCAACCTTGATACAAGTTCATCTCGAAAAAGAAAGTTCCCCAGTAATTGCCTTTTCTCTTCAAGAATTTCTTTTTAAATAAATCACGTCGACCGAGATTGGCAATAAATTATAAGGAGATGTCGATAGAAAGTCAAGGTTAACCCGCCGTCTTAATAAACCAATACCCAGATTTATACCATGTTTTATTGAGTCCTTGTTCGCAACGAAAGGGTTAAGAATAACAAATTTGTTACATCAATAATCCTCCTCGAGGAGGGCCGCAGGCAGTTACTGTGCTAAATTAATGTCACCCAAGTCCAAAGCCAACTCAAACATTACTGTATCAAAGTAAATATATGTTCTAGGGCCAGTTATGAATTTGCTGTATTACCTGTGTCAAATTTATATACACACGAAATATTTACATGTGTAAGAGTATCTTTTTTAGATGATATTACATGATCACGAAAGTACCAAAATATGAAAGTATGATCTTCAGCACAGATTTTCCTACGCCACTGCCTTTATCCCATACAAACGAACCAGCCTTTTCCTCGTGTTCTTTTATCAACGTTTCTCGTGTCCTTCGTACAAGGAATTTTCCTCTGTCATCGACCTGCGACCGTAGGCAAATCGCCAAAAAAGTGACACGATGGTAACCGGGAGGTTTTTCCTCCCGTTTCGCAATCGGGAGAACAAGAGACAAAGAAGTATCCTCAAATGTCTAAAAAATGCAAGACCTAAGTATCTAGATAAAATCTTAGAGCCTACAAAAGTTGTTTGGACAATAAAGAGGAGTTCGAGAGTGTAACTGATCGATTTGACAAGGTATGCAGCCATCGGTGTCACCATCGTTTGTTTAGCTCGCAACGACTCGCACGCAGAAATGGTTTTATTGCTCGTGAAGACATAGACACACTTGCGAATGAGAGAATAGATGGTACAGTGATGGACGTTGCGAAAGGCGAGAACAGAAAAGGCGATAGCACAGAAATAAAAAAAAAGAGATGGGTCCAGTCACGATCCGGTGCGAGAGATAGAATCAAAGTGATCGAACACGCGTGAGTGAGAAAGAATGTAGTGTGGATAGAATGCTCTGATTTAATTCGATACAATTGAAACTTTGTAACAAAATGAGCGATTTCGCAACGAACGTTGTATAACGCTGTTTATGTATAATATTGCATAATTCTGACAATGCACGTGTAATTCTATTAGATTGTTGCGTATCAAATGGACGATTATGAAACGTAGAATGTCCGACATGATCTGATGACATGACAGTGTCACAAAATGGCGCCAGTATCAATTTGAAATTACTCGAGAAGAGATATTTAGTCTAACATTGTCACAAAATAAAAAGAAACGCAATGCATATTTCATAAAGCAGTCGCACATAATTTCCTTTCCCTCTACGACCGAAGATTACATAATATCGAAAGGTCGATTTCGTCCAGTGTTACTACGATTAAAAAAAAATCCTTACAATTCTCCGAATGTCTCCACATAAAAATCCCTCATCGCGATGTTAAATTTCAAATCGTTTTCCTAAAATCCCTCTGTTCGAAAATACCGCGAATGACAATATCCCTTTTCTTTTGTTCAATAGAAATTAATTAAATCAGAGCAACGAGTACCACAAGAGGCAACAGAGAGGGCTTCGCTCGAACGGAAACAAAAGAATTCGACGAAAACACACGAGGTTGATGAAAAATGAAAGAAAAAAAAAAGATGTGAAAATAGCTAACGAGTCTAACTCGCAGATGAAACGAGGAGAGAGACTAGCTTCTCTTGCAAAAGAGAATTAATGATCGAACGCTACTCGCGCGCGGGTTTCGAGCGGTAAAAGCGAACGAGTCGACTAAATAACGAGGAGCACTTGTAAAGGAGGCCAGATCGTCGAAGCGAAACCGATCTGGACGCAGAAAGAGATAGGAAAAGAGACAGAAAGAGAGAAAAAGAGCAAGATCAGCGATCGAGAACGTGCTACCTCGTACCTGGAGCGATCGGGAACAGAAAGTAATCGTGTGTGTTCGGTACGTACTGGTGTTGGCTATGTGTGTTCGCATGAATTCTTACAAAGCTGAAAAGCCATTGCGTGCCAGAGCTGATTTCGAGATATTACCTACGTATTGAAGCGTGGCGTCGACGTTTCTCGTAGAGAAACTTCGATCGTGTCGCTTTAGGTTCCATTCATATTTTCGATATTAAAAAATATTGTAGAATAATATTTCATAATTCCGTCTTGCAACACTTACTTTAACAATAAATCGAGGGCTTTCAACAACTAAATCAAGCTCTGGAAACAATACTGTGGCACGCGATGTCGAATTAGCAAAGTGGAAAGCGCGTATTTTCACGGCGGTTAATCGCACAATGTAAATCGAGAAAAATAGAAAGATACTAACCCATATACCAGCACTGCTGTACATGATTCTTCGTGAAAAAATGGAGAGAAAAGTCCTTTACCGTTTCATAATCCACTGTAGCGTTTTCGAGATACAAACTACTGAGGCTGTGACGTTTGAAATTGGCGCTATTCGCGCACCGGAAGTCGGGATGAGCAAATCTATAATTGCTAATATCTCGAGAACGCAGCAACGGATCGAGAAGCGGTAAAGGACTTTTCGATTTATTTTTCCGCAAAGAATAGCTTTCATGCAAAACCTTCGTATAAAAATATACAAAGTTCTGAAACAAGAGAAGGTTTAACTGAGCAAATTATTGAAACCTGTCGGGGCTTAATGAGAAAGAAATAATTAGCTCATCTTGGCTGGTGTGCGGGTTAAAAGAGTGGCAAGTCGCACGAGCTTCTCGTCTCCCAAGCGTTCGCTCGTACTTTCGCTCAAAATCAAAACCAGTCTCTCAGTCGCGAATCGAAAGTGGCCAGACTGGAGATTACAGCGTCTCGAAAGTGACCCATGCATGTCTCGTGTGAGTGTGTCTACGCGTTAACGATGCGTTTTCACTGAAGGCGACACAGCGATATATTCGAGTATCAGACTTTGCGGAACTGTAGAAAGTATACTGGGAACTAATTTATAGATTGCAACATGTCTAATCAATTTTCGCATTAATTTTAAATACAGGTTTCGCGGAATTGAAGCAAGAGATCTTTTACACGAGAAAGTAAACTTGATTTTAAAATTCTAATCACGTTCTAAAATGTATCGGAGACGAGAAGGATCGTGGATGAGTATGCGACAGTGCGCGATAGTAGTAGTGCCAGGTTAGTACTAGCTTGAACAGTGCGTGCTACGTTGCGAGTCTACGAAGGAACCGTGCCTTCCGTTTCCTTGGGAACAACTTTCCTCGAAATCCTCGAGGATTCGAGGAAAATGCCAGATCATGGTTGTTTGCATCGGAAAATGGGTTTACTTCGCATGCACACCTCATAAGTACACACTTCCATTGCAAAAGAGACAAGAACTTTCTCGGACATTTTCCGATGCAAAGAACCGGAAACGGAAATAGTCGCATCGGTTCAGCCTGGTCGATACATCGACTTACTCTCGAGCTTGTCACAGTTGGTGACTTTACCCTTCCAGTCGCAGGTCTGTTTGTCCAAGTCAAAGGCCAGTCCGCTGGGGCACGTGATTTGCTTCAGGCCGGATTTCGTGCACCTGTTCGAGCCGGACAGAAAACAAACGGGGATCTCTTTAGTCATATTATGATCGATATTAATCGCTTACTCTCGAGTTGTTCGCAGTTCTTCACGTTCGTCTTCCAATCACACGTTTGTCGCTCGATGTCGAACGCCAGACCCGTTGGGCAGCGGACGGTCGCCAACCTCGTCACACCGATCTCGGTCGCTTTGTCGCATCTGAGATCAAGGTTTACCATTTTGTCCTTTTTCTATTGTTTCTTTTGTACATTAGTGTTTTGTGTACTCTGTGCTCTAGTAGTGTATAATAGTGAATATTCTTAAATAGTATACGCAAGGTGCAGGTGGTTGAAATGTACACATCCAAAATGCACATGTACACTAGTGCATAGTGCACGATCTAATGTATAAAGTGAATGTTCAACACTAGTGTATGTGTGAAGAAAAAAGTTACATAAAATTGTACAAAAATGTAGAAGGTTCGTATACGAACGCATAAAATCGTCACAGTGGCAAAACAACAGGAAAGAATGCAAGCGATCCAATTAAAAGTGAATGGTACAACCAGTTTGAAATATTTCTGGGAAAAGTGGAAGTATACTATAAACGTACAACAGGATCAGTGTTCCCGAGGATATTTTTGCCCGTTTGTCCTTGACGATGAAATACCTTGCTTGTTCAAGTGAGTCAGGATATTCCGTCTGTCGTCATCGGTTAGAAGGCGAGTCCTGTATCCGGTATCAGGCTCGCCTTGAACCTTCGAACGCGGAATTCGATCGCCATAGGTACCGAAGGAACTCATTTCATCTTTTCAATCTCCTCAACTTCTTTATGAATCGTTACCGTTAACTTCGCTAACAGAATCGTGTTCTCGGTGTGTGTCCTTCGAGGTTACTTTTACCTGGCCGAGAATCGATTACGGTTCGAAACGAATGTTATTTACGACGTCTTAGATTATCTCGATCGACCAAGAACAAGTATTTTGTTCGGCCGAATATCTATTCCAGGAAGATGACGCGATGTTTTGATAGTCGAGGAAACTTTTTGATAGTAAATCACTTTTTTCCTTAAATAACTTTCCGTTGAATAATTTTGAACATGCTTTTATATTTTTTTATCAACAGGGTGTTAGTCATAGAGCAGTAGATACTCGGATTGAGATACAATTTTGAAACAAAGATAAATGAAACTAAATCGTTTAATAAAATTTGGTTGAATTACCTTACGACGTCACGGCAGTCTCCTTCTACGCTCAACCGGAAGTACTCGTCTCCCGGCCTATCCTGGCACAGCTCTTCGGCATTCGCGTCGATTCCATCGGCTCCTTCATCGTCTTGTGCTCTAACCAGCGTTCCTGAACATTAGAAAACAACACTTACTGCAAGAATGAAGTAAAAAATAAATGCCTGAGCTTGAATGGAAGTATGCAAAAGACACAATGGTTGGTTATTGTTGAGCAAGAAATGCTATCTCGTTTGAAAGAAGGATTCCTGTTTCCACCACCCAACAATTATGTACTTTCTATCGTCGATTACATAAACTGCACGAGCGGTTTCTTAATGTGACCATACAAACAATCATTTTCTCCTAGAGGAATCTTTACGGAACGATTTGGAAACTTAGGGATTTGCTAATTACCTATTCGAAAGTTCTAAATTTCCCTCAACAGTGCATCAGTCCATATTTAGCAAAATAGATTCACCAACGTGTCTACAGAATTCCAAGAAGTCAATAATGAAAGGAATCCTGAAGAAAGTGTACGACAAATATCATGATTGTCGTACCAACGAAACAATCGGAAAACATAAATCGATAGATCGCGGTTGACATTTGGATAAAAAGGGCATGGAATCGTAGGTAGCGCGAAGAAACCGTGGAAAATGTCGCGATCGTACGGAGCCACGATCTCTCGAGATCGTAGACCGAACAAGTCGGGGTCAGTGAACCCCCGTAGAAGTAGAAAGTCTTGGAAATGTCAGGGCAAGGAGACGGGGGTGGTGGGGAGGGAAGCGTCAGTGGTTCTCTAAAGTGGGTTCCGTTCGACACCTCGTAATTGAGCGTGCCTCGATCGTGATCCATGATCGTGATCATCGTTTCCGGACAATCATGATGCCTATCTTCCTTCGTTAAACTTTCACGCTGTCTGACGACCTTAGAAATTTTTTCTTCACAGATTTTCGTTGGCTGAGGAAGTTTTTATTTAGAAAATTGTCATAGTTTTTTAATAACAATCCTAGTTTAGGACTTTCTTAATTGGAAAATTGAAGATCGAGGAGCTTTGATAACAATTATGAATCTGAAGTTTAAGTAGAGGAATATAGATGGAGACATTGTTTTTGATCAGTAGCAGCTGCTGTCAAGAAGCATTGAAATCACCAGAATCATGGCGACCAAACGTCTCCCAACTTGACAATTTCAGAAACAGCAAAAGATTTGTCTGCCTATTATACTATTTACAAAATACTCGCAAAAATTCAAAGTGAATCGATAACCTGTTGGAATATTTAACATAAAAAAATTAGAGATTGCATAATGCAAAGAGGTACCTTCAAGGCTTTAATTTCTCCTCAGAAAGATAGATGAAACAGAGAATCGAAATGGCGAATAAAAATACATCAAACGATCTTTAATGCTCGAAAGTTCTCACGCAATAGTCTGAACGTCGAAAACAGCTTTCACCGTCATTAACCTTTCGGAGAATCGAAACTTACCGACTACTACAGATGATGGTAAACAGATGATCATTTAGTTAATACAAAATTGCATTGACAACCCTCTAATTTCGATCATTCACGAAATTCGTTCAGAAAGATTGAAGTTTTATTCAAAGATCAAAATTTATAGCAACTGGTTTACAAAAGGTGTTCGACCCTTAAATGACGGGATAAACTAATTCAATTTAACTTAAATTAATTTGATTCTCATTGATCCAGAGAAGTATGACTGTGATTTCTGTAGAGTACGAAAATTTTTAAATTTGAACAAAGTTTTGTTCGAGACATGTCACCCGGTCCCGCCGTTCAAGGGTCAAATAGGTTCACGCAGCGGAAAGAGGATGAATCAGTGAAGAGTACTCACCGGCGAAGAGAAATAAGGATCCAAGAAGGAGCAGGTACTTCGACGACATCGTGGTCGTCGTTGTTGTCGTCGCCGTCATCGTCGTCGTCAGGACAAAGAGTGTCTGGACAAGCCGCGCCCTCTCGCCCCTCTATATGTGCACCACCACTCCTTCCTCTTCGTCGAAGGACTTTCACCATCCGGATAGTGCTGCCATCTTTTCCACGTCGTGAAATGCCCAACTACCGGTTACGTTTCTTCCGTTTTAATGTCGCGACAGATCTTCCATTTCGTTTCGATACTCCTCCACTTCTGCCCGAAGAAATCGTTAAAAACGCCATTACAATTCCTATAGAACTTCGTGACCCGAATGTCGAACAATTTGCTCTACTTTCATCGTTATTTGCATTTCTAATAACTTCTTTGGTGGGAACTAGAAAATGTTGGTGCGGAGATAACTTTCCAGAAGGGAGTTTGACTCCCTAGGCTTCTGAGGATCTTTTCTTCTTGGTATCTTTTCACCCTACGACCCACTTGAATTTTTCCTGTGTTCTTCTTGGAATCTAGTCAGGATTTTTTCAAGTTTCAAATTCTGCTTAAGATTTCTCCTCTAATCTCTCAGGTTCTTCTTGGAACCATAGAATGTCCTTAGGTTTTACTCCCACAGAATCGTTCTCCACAAACACATAACTTGTATCAATTAAAAATAAAATTGAATAATTTATAAATGTATAAAAAAATGGAAGAACCAGTTGTAGACAGTATGAATATTCGCAATATCTGGGTGAAGTTATTTAACTGTTACAAGAACCGCAATACAGAAGAAAGGAGATATAACAGAATAAAGTGTGAGCATCAAAACGCTTTTACTATCGAAAATGCGGTACAAAAAGACCTCGAACTTTCAAGGTCCTGGTTGATCGAGTGAAAACCCGCCTTACGGATGTTTTTTACGATACCCAACGAAGATATTGACGACCAGCAGGCGTTTTAAAACGTTCCACGAAAAGAGCGTTCGAGCTCGTAAAAGTTCCTGAAGAAAGTGGTATCATGGACGACCGTGATCAACTTTCCATGAAAATTCTTCGAGCAAAAAATTCTTTCTATTCACGAAACGTAAACCTTGGAGCTTATCCTCGGATACCAGGACTAAGTGTCGATTTTCGATAGAAGATGTGATCCAGTGACTTTTGGAATTTTTGGACTTTGGAATATTGGGATGTAATATAACTATTATTTATTAAAGGCCATAAGGCTAATTTCAATTTGACCTTTAGGATTGCTCAAAGTACTTAATGCCTGATCCTTGACAAAAGAAATTGTCGGATCAAATTATTCTCTCTCTTTTTTAAACGACATTATCGCGTGTACAGCTGTTACAAGTTCTGTAAAGCTACAGTCCAACAGAGTTATTTTCACCGGGAACGACGTCGATAACCTTTTACCGTGTAAACCGCAAATTTATTGAGCACCGTTGGGTGCATCCCGTTGAAGCTCAGAAATAAAACACGTTGTTGCGCAAAGCGTAAACGTTGACGTGTCGTTTAAGCAGACGAACAGAGAAATGGGAATTATTTTTCCTCCGGCAAACTTTAAAAGCCCGTAAATAATTCATGTATCCTTGTGCTGTCAGGATGATATGGAAAAAGTGAAATGGAATGATGTGGAAACAGGAAATAAAGGATTCTTTCGCAACGCTCCCTTGTGGATAAAAGATCAAAATGTACGAGCATGAACGAAATAGACGCGCAAATCGATAATCCTTTGTTCTCAGAATTAAATCGGAAAATTCTTCAAGGTAGATTATCCTTGAGATCGCTGACAGATATAATTCTTTGTTCTTTTCGTAGAATAGAAATTGAGGGTGGTCTAACGTGATTTATATTCATAATTCTTTCTCTTCTGAATCTCTTCATATTCCTATATCGCCAAAAGCTCATTTTTATAAAAATTCTATAATTATCGACCGCAATATTTTATCATCGTTCAACAAGATTATTCACGGTATCCAGCACAATGTCGTTATTAACCATTATCCGTATAACACGGTTCGCGTTATCGCAGAATTTACTACATCCCAGTAAATCCTGCACGAAGAAACGTGTCGAGATAAAATACGAAACACGGGGCACCATAGTCGAGCGATGGTGCGAGGTGTGCTGGATCGATTCTCGAACTACCATTATGGTGGTCGGTCTACGCAAATCTTCGCTTTCGCAATGGACTGTGTTTCATCGGGAACGATGCGTGCCACGAATTTTTGTATCGTTTTCACAGAAACTGTGAACGTCATCGACGAAAATCAACGTGAAACATTCAATTACCAATTGTTTGTGCAAGCTTTGACCAAACCGCTTTGCAAATCTCCTTTTGTTTCTGGCAACGTTTCGCGCTGATAAATATTTAACTACAGCGATTTAATTAAATTCGTGTACGATAATATGTGGGAAGCGATGTTGCGACACGGAGTTTTTGTTAGTTAGTTACTTTCTACATATTATTATATTCCACCTTGTGAACAAGTAGGAATAAAATGAGAAGTCAAATTTTTCATATGGACTAAACATTACGGTTTTTCGTTAGAATGAAAATTCAGCCAGTCGAGCGAGTAGAAAGGAAATCGATGAGGCAATCAAGAGATTAAAAAGGAAGAAATACTCGGCGCAGCCGTATACCACTGTTCGCGAAATGTTTCACGAACTGGAATGCGTTGCAAACACTAATGATGAAACACTTATATGCTAATCGCTCAAACGTCGAAGGAAATACGAGTGCAAACTAGATGCACGAAATTACGATCATCAATTAGAATTGCACTTCTACCGTACCATATATAACCCGCGAATAACGTATGGTGTACATACGTGTACCGCGTTGCGATCCATTCTTCAAAATAGCCGCCTAGAAAAGAGAAACAAAGAGCGGGTGATTCATGATCTCACGAAGGGAGCAAGTAGCATTTCCTATAAATCCAACAAAACTTCGTAACCACATTTAACCACGCTTAAATAAGGAAATGGCCGTTTCCTGATCGTTAATCACGAAACACGTGTTCACCCGTACGTGTCTATAAACGTTTCACTCACCTGGAAAACTGATCGTAAAAGTTCATTTATTTCGTGGTACTTGTTCTTCTCCGAATCATAATTTATATAAGAGGAAATATTATTTTAAAAAATAATCGATTAGAATTAATCACGAGTGCGTTAAATTGGAAGTGAAATTGTAAAGTTATTTTGTATTTATTAGGGTATTTTGTTGTTCGTATTATAATACTTGAGCAACAAGTCGAATATATTAGATTGCACGATAATACTGTTCCGAATCGCAGCCCTTGCATTGTGTCGAAGTTTTTCCAGTTATCTCTGTGAGAAGAGAATCTATTGTTACGCGTTTTGAAATTATAACTCGACACCATCGTTGGGTCCAAACAGAGTAGACGGTTCACAAATATAAGTACGAATCGATTAGATAAAAGCTGAAACAAAACTGAAGACACGACTTTCCAATATTTGCACTGGACGGAAATCAAATATTTCGGAGCAAGTTCGACTACACCGGCGTATATTATAGGGCAGATGAGATGTAACTACCGCGTATGTAGCTGATAAAAGGGGAGGTTCAATATTTCATAACGGGTGGATGGGAACGTGCAAATATATTGCTGTCGATGAAACGAGAATTTATATTTCGAGCTACGTGACCGAACCGATCGGACAAAATCGATAGACAAAAACAATAGACATTTCTAAATGATAGAAAATGAAGTGCTATGACCGACAAACGAGCACCATGTACCAATAACGAGTTGGTAATACAAATAACAATTATTATCATTTGCCATAATTGTACTATAATTACCATTTATCATTCTGTGAATTACTAGTACGTGTTTCTATCTCCTGAAAATTATAAGTGTGCAACATCGATCGGTGTTCCCTAACACGGTGATCCAGGAGGATCCAATGGCATTTCTAAGCACACTCTAAGCGGAGTCCTTGACGAGATGCGCTGGTCGGGATGCCAACGGGGGCACACGTTCACCATAGAATAAATAACGGGGTGCTGTTGGAAACCAGTTTTCGTAGTTCACCAGCTTGTGCGTGCAACGTGCCTTCGTCTTGTCGTTTCTTTTTCCCTCTTTCCCCTGGTGACCTATGCAGCCCAGGCGCCAGATATTATTATTTCTGTTGTTCGCTAACGAACGCTTGGATTCCTGTGCTCCAGGTTCCTTTCCCTCCTGGCCAATGGACAGTGCGATCGAAATTAAAGACTCGCTTCTACTTTACAGTCAATTCAGAGTTGTGGGGATTTCAGGTATCAATGTTCGAAGTTTGGGATGCTTAAAGATATTAACTTCTACATATTAGAAAGGTGTTAATGTAAAATAGATTCAATCGAAGATACCAAACTTTCGATTAAAACCGAAGAACTTCTCGATGTTGCAATCCGTATTACAAAATTCCAAACAAGATTTAAATAAAAATTGAATTTCTTCAGTCATCGAAGTCCAGGTTATAGAAAAGTATTTCGAAAGCCATCAGCGTAGATCGAAGAAAAGAAATCTCGTCGTCATCAAACTGCCATTCATCTGCATGATTTACGACGACCGTAGCTTCTATTAATCACCGACGAAGAAAAGATCGACACCTTTTTCTTGCGTGAAAGGAAACGCTGATAAGAATCGCGGGGAATCAAGATCATAAAGGACGGATCTAGTAAGAGGCTGTCGGTGGATCGATCCGGGATTTATTGATTGAGATCGCGAGTCGAAGACAGCCACGCATTCCGCGATGAAACGTGCGAGGATGGTTCAAGGAGAGGTTGCGATTGTAGAAAGCATGAAGGAAGAAGAAAAGAGCAAGAGTAAAAAGGTCTGTGGGTCACTGTGCTAACCGATTACGTAACCGTGTAACCTTCGCTGGTCGTAAACGTATTTTCTACGTTTTCCTCGTTCATCCAATTAATCACACGAGGAAATTCTGCATGAAATATTTCATCTTCGAATATTCCCAAATACCGAAAGCTTTAGAGTTACGTTCCACAATTACTCGATAATAAAATTTGACTTCAATTACGAGAAAACGCGAGGAAAAAGTATGGCAGAGGACGGGAAAGTTGGTGGCAGACGCG